AATAGATAGAGTAGAAGTTATTCAACTTTATATCCTCTTGTTTTCACCATTATTAATAAATCATATCAAGCTTACCTATTTGTAAAAAAAAAAAGAGATCGTTCTAAATTATGCCAAAATCACTTATATAGTAGTTTAAATAATAATTCTCATGATTACTCGATTTCATAATTGTATTACTATATTAACCCAAATTACTCATAATTTCATAATCCAGTGATACTATGCCGAAACTCGATTGAAGATATTGAGTAGCACCTACAGAATTTCAATATAATAAAGATATGTGTTAGGTATATATATCAACAAATTAGGTTCAAATGTTATATAACAAATATATTATATAAATCAAAGCAAAGTTAAAATTTTAAAATACGCTCATGTGTGTTATTACATGTAAATGTGAAGTATATATGTATATAATTTGATCGGTATTAAACCCTTGAACCAGACTGATCAAAATTGATCAAATTAGTCTGATTAAGATTGATTTCGTACTAACTCTACTTATAATATATGTCAAGCCAGTATATATGTATTAAATTTTGTTAACTTTATTTGCTTAAGAAATGATAAATGAATTAAGTGAAAAGAATAAATAATTATTTCAAATCAGATATTTTTAACATCTCACAAACAGTAGTTCTGTTTGATCGAAGTACACATTTATTGATCTCATCCATTAGCATCACCTGTTTTGCAATCTCATCCTATGATTAGACAAACATATAAATAGAAATTATAAACATTAAAAATAGTATAAATAATATTTTGCACAAGTGATCTACTGTAAACACATACATGAAATATTGCCATCATTCTAAGTATAGATTTATACTGGCTTTTACCATTGAAGCTGAATGAAATATCAACAGAGATGAGCTCAGATGAAAAAAAATAACCATTAGAGAGCATATTTAATGCATAAAGAGTTAACCTGGTTTCTAAAGAGATAAAAATTAATGTCAGATTTTGCAACTAATATATATATTACATATACAATATCATTTACTGATTGTTTGAATACAAAACATCTTTATTTTTATTGTAGTGTTCACATCACAATCTAGGTGATTTCGCAGTATTATTATCAGGTTCAAGAGATCTGTACAGAGAGATTTTCTTGTATCATTAATAATATGATCATTGGTAGTATTATCAAAAGGACCAGCAACTTCTATATGCCATACATCAAGACTGTCCAAATATCTGGTTGCTTTTGCATTAACTTGCACAATTCCTGAACATTTTAATAATTTTACCATTTTTGCGGAATGAGCATGTGACTCTATCCAATCAAAATATAGATATATAAATGTAGTTTCATAAAACCTGTATAGAAAAGAAACAAGGTAAATAATATATTTTTATTTGCCTATATTTCAAGACATGGTTAATTAAATATCAAAAGATGATGACTTTTTTGCAAGTAAAATACAATGGTTAGTATACCTTTGATAATTGATAAACAGATATAAATAACAATATACAAATCTAGAAGAATCTTCTCACAATACAACTTGAATAATTTATCTTCAGTATCTGAATTATCCAGAACTACTCTCTTAAAATTATTTTTGGATTTCTATAATATATATGAAATATATATTTAGATGATATAAAAAAACATTTCTGAGAATAGATAAATCTTACATTGAGAATATTATCAATATATTTATCCAGGGCAGATGTCCAAACAGGTAAGTTGATGGTATATACAGAAGATAACTCTTTAGCTAACTTCTCACCAATTTCTTTTATCAATTGATCTTTTGCTATTGTAAATATACATATTATAGAGATATCTTGGGAGTATTTGTTATCAGGAATTATATAGATACAGATGTTGTTAGAATATATCCTATTTGTTATATATAAAAAAATTAGACTTACTGTTAAAGTTCTTCCTTTTCTAATAGTCGTTTATTAGGCGTTATCTTTAAATGCATTAATTTTAAATTTTGATAAGTTTGAGAAGAAGTTTTAGATAATATTAAAGACTGTGATTATATATGAGCTTGGAGGGCTTTTGTCTTCATGTTAAGACATATTGTAGTCTGCAAAATGATAATACAAAATATAAAATGTGAACATCCTGATTAAAATATATGGGTAAGAATAATTATCTACTTCAACAGTATTGTGAAGAGCAGCAGACTGACTTTGTACTCTCTTGGCATTAAAAAATTTGCAGAAAACTTCGATAGTAGCAATTCCTGTATAAGACTATTATGATTTGTGAGATCTGTTTCTATATTATTCAATAATTATAACAAAAATACTATGCTTTTAACTAAAAAATATAATTGAAATAGAAAGCTTTAATTGGAAGTGGAATAGTTGTGAGTTGATTTAACTGATATAAACTCTCAATGAACAGGAGCATCCATAAATAACATTATGTACCCCACATAGTAACCCTTGACCCCCTAGACTATATAAAAAAAAATTAAAAATCCGTATATTTATATATAAATTTTTACAAAACCTTGATTATCTTGTGACCCAGTAATCCAAATTAGATAAATTTGGTACCATTAGATTCGTCTCAATGAGAGGAATCCAATGGTACCAAAACTATTCAATTTGGATCACTAGATCAAAAGATATAGGCAAAAAACTGTTAATTTTATAGTAATTTTATATAAAATAATATAGCCAATAGTTTTTTGCCAATATATTTTGATCTAGTAAGCCAAATTGAATAATTTTGGTACCATTGGATTCCTCTCACTGAGACGAATCCAATAGTACCAAATTTATCCAATTTGGACTACTAGGTCACGAGATATTAATATTTTTATAAAAAAATTAGGTTATTTGTCATCGACCCCCTCTAACTTAGCAAAAAATATAAAAAAAACATTATTTTTGTGAAACCCCTCTTGTATAACATTATTTATGGATACCCACAGTACAAGAGCTTGATCAAAATCAATCATTTCGGTATTAACAATATACATAATATAGGTTTGAAAGTACCAATTAGAAGCTTTTTTTTTCTTGAAATAATTATGAACAAAGTGTGTAGATGAATCAATAAGAAATTTAAAATGAGCTGTCAAAAAAAGATGCAGTTCATAATCTATGCTGTTTTGCGTTTCTGACATATTGGGTGATCTATATTTAGATTAGATCTTTTTAATCCAACAAGATTGCTCTACCAGTTCTTTAATTAGATAAACTTAAATTACACTACTTTAATAATGATTTAAACTAATTGGGCTACAATTGGTTAACCGATCTGTTGACAAATGTAAAAATAAGCAAAGACCCTGGAAAGTTCTGAAATGAAAATAAATGAACATAGTAGACGAGCAAAATCAAAACAAAAATTTGAGTAAAGGTTCAAGAATTCCTGAAAATAAGATGTAAAATAATCTTAATCGATTGCAATCGGTTAATACCAAATATTTCAGTTCGGTTAACTAATTAAGGAAAATTTTTTGGTTCAAATCACTAGTAATTAAAGAGAAAATAACTATAGTTAAAAATTTTTGTAATTTTTGCTTGATTAATATTTTAATAAAACAGTAGCAAAACATGCTGAAAAAAAAAAATATATATAAAGTTCTGGAATTTCTGATTTAAATAATAAAAGCAGGATCACTAAAAAAAAAAAAAAAAAAAATAGTAAATATATGAAAAAGCTATAATAAAAGATTAGCTTTATTTTAATTAAAAGTATCTTTAGTATTGTAAAATAGCTAGTTAAGAAAAATAGTTATATAGAAGTAGACTAACTAATTTAATATATATTAAGTTAGAAAATTTTGGTTATATCTATATAGAAGTCTATAATAAAAAAAATCAGAATATACTAATACAAATACAATATTAGTCAATAAACTAAATACAAACTAGAAGTCAAGATAAATTAGAGTTATTCCTTTTAGTAATATAATACAAGATCTATAGTTAAAAGTAAAGTTGCTTGCTACTTAAAGAATTTTATAGTATTAAACTAGTCTTTACCAAAATAGATTATTAAAGTAATTTTATAAAATATAGTTCTGATCAGTATTGTTACAGGACAGTTGTGAACAGTAAGTTTGGACACTTTAGACAATTTTGAACAATTAAATAAATTAAAATTACTCAAAATTTTATTAAGATAATCTATATTAATTTCTAAGTAAAATATATTCAACATATAAAAAAATATATAATTATATATTTTTTAAACAAATTTATTAATTATTAAAGCTTGGATATGCTCTGAATACTTGTGAATACTTGGATATTTAGATATTGAACAGTATTATAAAAACCTTTAGATAGTCAAAATATACAACACTGGTTCTGATAATATACTATACAAGGAGTACAAAATTAGTTAGAGCAATATTATTTATCATCTGATTATTTTTTATTAGAGCTTGCTCCCTCCTTCCTTCTTAATATAAAAAAATTAGATTTTTATATATAATTTTAACTTTTTTTACTTCCTTTACTCTAAAAAATTATCTGATTTTATCACATCTCTTAATAAGTAATATTATATTTAAAAAAATATTAAATTCTTGAGTGATATAAACTAGCAGTAGTAGCATGAATTTGGTTTAAGATACAAGTTAGCAAATAGATTCCATAATTTGATTTGATTTGATTTGATCAAATATTTGATATCAAATCAAATTTAAATACAAAAAATTCAAATCAAATCAAATTTAAATTTACAAAATATTTGATTTGATTTAACAAATATTTGAATATTTAATTTAATTTTTATTGAAACTATAGATTTAATAGCTATTTATACAAAATTTTATTAAGATAGCTATTTTTTTCTAACTGACTAGAAGTATTTTGATTAGAAGAATCTTTTTACTTAATATACAAAATTAATTAACTTAGTAAAATTTTGTATAAATTAAAAATTTTAAAAAGTGATAAAATTTTAAAATTTTTAAAAATTTTCAAATATTAAATTTAGCTAAAGTTTTGTCTTGAAAATTACTTTCTGCATTTTTGATCAGATTAATTCAGACAAAAATAAACCTAAGTACTAGTTCATATTTATATATTAATCATCTTTTAATTTTATTAATTTAATAATTTATTAAATAACTATTGAATCAATAAAAGTAAAAGATAATTAATATATAAATATAAACTAATACTTGGATTTATTTTTGTCAAAAATTAATCTGATTAAAAATATTAAAAGTAATTTTTAAAGCAAAAACTTTAGCTAATAATACTTTTTTAAAAGTTTTTTAGAAATTATACTATAATCAAATTATATATTTATTTAAATACTATAAAATTACCAGAAAGTAAATATTTAAGATTTTACTATAGCAAACTTAGACCTGAAAATTAAAATATTATATAATTAAATCACAAATATAATTAGTTCACTTTAGTTAAAACTTAAATATTCACTTATAGTTTTTATATATTTATTTATTTATTTATTTAAATTATTAATTAATTTATTTATTTATTTAAAATTTTTTTAATTGTACTTATTTATTTATTTTTTTTAATTGTATATTAAATTTTATTTAATTTTTATTTATTAACAATCTATTTTCTATTTTTCATACAAGTGATGCTAATTTACTTTGAAAAATTTTTCTATAAGATTTAAATTTTTTGTATATGTATTTTGCTAATCTTTCTGTTAATTCTTCATAGTATTACAAGGCTATAGCCTTCTTGGTAAAATACAACCAAGTAACAAGGTCACCTGGTATAGTAATTGACTATTGCAAATATATATAGGTGGAGGTGTAGTTGTTTACTTAACTACATAGCAGCAGGCAAATGGTTCGAAATAGTAACAGTATATAGAATATCTTTATTTAATACAAGAATAGTAATAAGCTTTGTCTATAGGAATTACTCAAGAGGAGAATATCACACTTTACAAGATAAGAAGAATTAAAAATTATCAAAGTTTAATTGAAGTATAGGAACTTAAGATTTGGCAAGAAGGGGAAAAGGCGCCCTTTATATATCTTTTTACCCACAAAGAAGCTATATGATGCACAGTAAAAGAGTAATACTTGGCAGATGAAGAAAGTGAACTTGTGTAGATGAAGTAGATGATCATGTTAAGTAAAATAGGTGATTGTACTGAGTAAAGTAGGTGAAATATAAATATTACTCATCATGTTTATATTTATTTATAGCTTGTAAGGGTGAATTAGAAAACTTGCTACACAATATTTTGTGTTTGAAGCATTTAGGGTTTGTGCAAGTAAATTAGAAGCTCATGTAGATAAATTAGTTGTTCATATGCGTGAAGAAGGTGAAC